TTTCTAAATATGCTTGATTTATTTTTTGTCAATAGTTACTTTGTTTGTGGTTTATTTGATAGTGCTGGTGATCACAGAACACATAACAGAGCAAAAATTTATCTTCAAAATTTATAACTTGGTCTAATTAAAAAAAAAAAAAAAAGAAACTTTCAGTTCGGGTTTGATTTATCAAGGTATTCAATTGGGTTGGTGTTGTCTTTTATATTGCTTGTAACATGAAGATTGCTTTGGTATAATCTACCAGCAGATTACAGTTTGGAGCTGCAAAATTCGGAACGGATTAATCACTGAAATATCCTCTTGTAGCTTTTGTTTCAAACTTTACATTTAAAAAGTTCTACAGCTTTTGTATGATATATTTGACGAGCTAATTTACAAAGTACGAAATTTGGATAAGCAAAGTGAAGATTATCAAACAATTTCTCATATCCCTCAAGTTGTCAGTGGATACTGGACAAATGATCGATGGGAAATAGAGTTCCTTTAAGAGAAGAATAGGTAAAAGACAATCTCAATATTTGACTTACAGTCTTCGATGTCAATTATATTTTTAGGGGAAAAAAAAAATCTAGTTGTGGCCTTCTTACTTTTTCCTACTTCTTATCTTTCTAATAAAGGCGTGACTCTAGATTGTTGTTCAACCACATTTAGTCCTTAGATATGTATGTGTTTTTATGTGCATAAAGATTTGATTTGTAAAATTATCTTGATTCTTTGTAATAAATCCTTTTCTTTTTCCTTTTCTTGTGTCTTTTGTTTTTTGATTTTGAAAAAGTTATTTTTTTTGCTCAAAAACAAAATTCGAAACAGTGTTCTAGTATCACTCTTTCAATTAGGATAGAGTGGCAATTTGTTCCAAGTCTCAATGGGCTACCCATGCCCATAGAGACTTTGGACGAGAGGGGTATTATAATTTGATATTGGGTTTAAAATGGGACAAATTTCAATTGTACCCATTAATTGATAGGAAATTTTGGAAAATACTTGGGTACTCATTGGGCCCAAATATCTCACCAAAAAATTTAATTTATTCAAAAATTATCTCTAACAGTTTTTCTAGTCATACCAGCGAATATAATCTAGTAGTCTTACTCGTCATGATCCACAAGAATTTCTAGCATTTCAGTCAGTTTAGACCTGCTATCTTTGGACAATGATGAGGATAAATATTTAACAACCTAAGTGCCTTGGCCATCTTGATATCTGTTGGAATATGACTATATATCTATTTTTTCCTTTATTTGTTAATTTAATTTTTGGTGGGAATCATGAGTATAAGGCACTTGCATGTTTATTTCTTGTTAGCTATTTCCTTTGCCTTTTTGTTTTCATGCTTTTGAGGAAGTGAAAACGTCAACTTCATATATGAATAAACCAAAATGTTCATTCTTTTGGTTTAATCCAGGGAGAAGATATGTTCATTCTTACCAAAATGTCATATCTTTTTTAAGCAATTATTGATCATTCTAGAGTGTAAATCAATGTTATTCAGGCTCAGTGGACTAATTTGATTACCCAATGCTGCTACTTGCTAACTCAAAGATCATTTTTTATGGTAATATGATTTTGTCGGAAATTGCATTACACTCCCCATTTGATGAAAAAATGAATTCATGAAAATACAAATTCACAATAAGACTAAAAGAAATTTAATAAATAAAAAATATTAAAGTTATATAAAAAATAAAAAATGAATTAAATATTTTCAAGAAACGTGAGGGACTATATTTAGCATATTTCCTAATATATTACTAATGATGTTAAAGTCCAAAAAGTGGGCAGAGAATGCTTTCAAATTGCTTTGATGATCCAGACTGGGTCCCTTGCTAAGTCCAAATTATGTGATACAATAACAGATATTAATATATCATCCTATATATCTCTAAGTCACTTTCATCCGATATTCTAGAAGAAAAGACCCCTGCAGCGTTTCATCCGATATCTCTAACTGCTTTAACGTACGCGGATATCTTTTATGATATCATTCTTCTTTTCTCAAGAACAAATACATATCTTGACAAAAGTTTATAGAACCAGCTGAGTTGGCCGCTAGGAATTTAAAGCTCTCCTTGGATGTAGCGCTTGCATTCTTATCTAGGCTTTTCTAAATATTTCAATAGCGGGTGCCTGTCTGGTCTGATGTTAGGAGGTTAGGCATTGAGTTCACATTCAGCCTTGAATTTAATCACATCTTTTACTTGACATCAGTTGCAGGCTTTCGTAGTATTCCATCAAATGCAGCGTAGATGCCAATCCAAATTCCAAACTAAGTAAATGGAAAATTTGACTTAAAGGATTACATGAATTAGCAGTTCAAGAAGTTGACTATTGGAGGTGATGTTCTTGCTAAATGCAAAGGTTCAACTAAAGACAACAGTGGATAACTAATCTAAAAACGCAAATACATAAATTCCACCCTTGCACATTTTCGTCCCCTGTTCCTCACTCACTTCGATGCATGATACCAAGTGAAAGGTCATTTTCCTGCTTACGCCATGAACAGGAAGAGAGGATACTAGTCAACTTCTTATGAAACATCAACACAGGAGAAGATGCATATGCTTTTGTTGCATATATGCGTTATCCTCGTTCTGAGTAGTTAACTATGCATATCTGCTTTTCTGAGCTTTAATTCTTGTACGCAATGGCATATGAAAGGAAGAATTTCAGGCTAGCTAGCTCATCTCGTTTTTTGTTTTCTACTCTCTTTCATATCTTTATTATTGCTTCTGCTGCTGCAATTCATTTTAAGACAAGTAATGAGACAGACTACCAATCTCCGCTTGACATCAAGGGTCTAATAAAAGGAGATCCAGTCCAGGCTCTGAGCTCCTGGAATGATTCCATTCATTTTTGTGATTGGCGTGGTGTCACATGTGGCCGGCTTCATCAAAGAGTCACTGTCTTGAATATGTCACCATTTCAGTTGGTTGGTTCTCTTTCCCCCTCCATGGGAAACCTTACCTTTCTCAGAGAACTCAATATTCAGGATAACTGATAGGGTATTAATTGTTAGTAATTTTATCATTAATTTTCCTCTTTATCCTTGCCAAATATTGTTTTAATTGTCAATATATATTTATATTTGGTATTTGGATATAATTTCAGAAAGTGGAGCAGAAAAGTGCTAAAAGGGGACCTTCTTGAGAAGATTTCTCCACACGTGAAAGCTTCTAAAAGCTTTCCACCATTAGCCCAAATTGTGCAAACCAACGGAATTGCTGAAGAATTGAATTGATATGATGAAATCCACTAGCAATAAGAAATCAAGCGGGGACCACGTAGAAAGTTTGTTCTTATTGTGGGAGATATACTCATTAGTCAAGGTGTTGGCTTTGATGATTGAGCTTTGGCTTTGATGATTGAGCTTTTCTAATTTGCTTCCTACGTCACTAGTTCTATTAGGAAACTAGTGCTAAAATAAAATAAGGGAAAGGCACTAGACGAGTGCTATATAAGACATTAGATTAGTTTCTCTCTACAGAGAGGAAGATAGGTAGTCTTAGTCATAAAATAGGATTTTGTTCTTTCATGTTTTGTGGGATGTGAAGATCTCTTCAGTTGGTTTGTTTTGTATTTTTTCCGTCTCTTCCTTTAGACTAGTTTCTTTCATGAAACTAGTTCTATTTCATTAGATTACGGAGACTAGCAAGAGTTATTTATGTCTATGAATTCAATTGAATTGCGTGGGAATTTTCTTATGAGGCGTGGCTAATTTTCTCCTCTAGTCAAGGATCAATACGAAGACGCAGTCCCATATATCTGTGAGATCTAATTAATTTTACGTGTTCCTTAATTTGTTAATATTTGCATGTTTTCTATTTTAATTTCCATGGGATTATTTTGTTAATTGGATATCAAGGGACCGATGTGCAATTTGACTTATTAATCTCTTGTAATCAATTAAATCCGTAATTGTTTAGTTGGTTAATATTAGTGACAATTAGTATTTTCACATACTAGGGGAACATGCAATCTGATTTAAATAACCCTCGTAGCGTGTTATTAATTTGGGTTAGGCTTTTCTAGTTTTTAATGCAATTAGGAAATTAATTCCTACGGTCGTACCTAGGAGTATTTCCTGGTTAGGGGTAATCAATGGTCGTACCTTGGTTATCAATAAATTAAGGAAAAGCTGGTCGTTAGAGCTTATCGACGACTATAACTAACCTGTTAATAAAATTAAGTGAACCTTCTTTGCATCAATGATCGGATGAATGGACTGTGTCTGCGTAGTTGTATCCTTGGCTAGAATTTATTTATCATCTATTTAATTGCTATTTACAATTGTATTAATTATTTATTTATTTTTGGTTAATTATTTTTAGTTAAATTGTTTAATTGTTTATTTTTAATTTCATTTTGATAAAAATCCCCCGTGTCTCGAATTTAAAAAGAATCGAATTTTTTCCCAGTCCCTGTGGATTCGACCCTGCTTACTACTATACACAGAAAATTTATTTTTCTTAAGCAGGTATTTATTATTGCACAGGCACGACACCTGTCAATTTTTGGCGCCGCTGCCGGGGACTGGCGTTAATTATTTGTTTCTTTTTAAAATTCATTTTTGTTCTAATTTTCTGGTATTTTTTTTCTAGTTTATGCCTCGCTCTTCTCGTACAGGCGAATTAGTTTTTGACCCTGAAGTAGAGAAGACCGCGCGTAGAACGAGGAAAGAAACCAGGCGGCTCAGAGAAGAGCAATACGGTATTGCACCTCAGGGACTTGATCCAGAGGTTGAACCGACAAATTTGTCTGGTGACAATTTGAGTGATTCAGACCAAGAGGAAGTCACTATGGCAAATGCACGAACACTAAGGGAGTTGGCTGCTCCTGATTTAAATCAGCAGCCCTTGTGCATTACTTTTTCAAATTTAAATGATGACACTCCCTTTGAACTAAAATCTGGTCTAATTCATCTCTTGCCATCTTTCCATGGTCTACCAGGTGAGGAGCCCTACAAGCACTTGCAAGAGTTCGACGTCGTTTGCAACAGTATGAAACCCCCGGAAATTACAGAAGAGCAAATAAAGATGAGGGCTTTCCCCTTCTCTTTGAAGGACTCTGCAAAAGACTGGCTCTACTACCTACCACCTGGTAGTATCACCACGTGGGACCAACTGAAGAAAAAATTCTTGGACAAGTACTTTCCGGCATCTCGAGCTGCAAGCCTAAGGAAGGAGATATGTGGCATCAAACAACACCCAGGCGAGTCACTCTATGAGTACTGGGAGAGGTTTAAGAAACTGTGCACCAAATGCCCTCAGCATCAGATAAGTGAGCAACTGCTTATTCAATATTTCTATGAGGGGTTGCTTTTCAGGGACAGAAGCATAATCGATGCTGCAAGTGGAGGGGCGTTGGTGAACAAAACCCCTCGAGGAGCATGGGAGTTGATTGAAGGGATGGCTGAGAACTCACAGCAGTTTGGTTCAAGAGAGGACATCCCTACGCGTAGGGTGAATGAGGTAGAAACGTCCTCTATCCAACAACAGATCTCCGAATTAACATCTTTCGTAAGACAATTAGCTGTGGGGAGTGCTTCACAAGCCAAAGTGTGTGGGGTGTGCACTGCCGTGGGTCATCCTACGGAAATGTGCCCACTGGTTCAAGAAGAAACTGCAGAACAGGTGAACATGGCTGGCTACGCACCCGCGCCCGCGCCAAGAAAGCAGTACGACCCGTACTCAAACACCTACAATCCTGGTTGGAGGGATCACCCCAATCTTAGCTATGGAGGAAATAGACAGTCTAACTTTGTGCCAAATAGACAGCAAGGACACCAACAGCAGTACCATCCTCGCCCATCACCACCACCACCCCCTTCAAACTCAAATCCGTCCATGGAAGAGATGATGAAGCAATTACTTGCTAACCAACAAAAGACGGATTCAGACCTGCAAAGCATGAGAAATCAATTGGGACAGGTGCAATCATTGCAAAATCAAATGAATCAAATGGCCATAACGATCAACCGTCTGGAGTCCCAAGTTCAAGGAAAGTTGCCATCTCAACCTGAGGCGAATCCAAAGAATATAAGTGCAATGACCTTGAGGAGTGGCAAGGAAGTCCAAGGACCCGAACTGGTGATTCCTAAAGACAAGGACGAGGAACGGATTGAGAAAGAATTGGAAGAGGAGGGCAGAGACAACAAAAATGCAAAGGTACCCTCGAACCCAATTCCTACAGCTAAAACTAATCCACCTCCCTTTCCTAGCAGGTTAGAGAAACCAAAGAAGCAAGACAAGGAAAAAGAGGTCCTGGAGATCTTTCGCAAGGTGGAGATCAACATACCCCTACTGGATGCGATTAAACAAGTACCCAGGTACGCAAAATTTTTGAGGGACCTGTGTGCCAACCGCAAGCGGTTGAAGGGAGATGAACGAGTTATAGTTGGGGAGAATGTTTCAGCAATTCTACAAAGAAAGCTTCCACCGAAATGCGGAGATCCAGGTATGTTTACTATTCCTTGTAGGATAGGTAATATTTTGATTGGAAAGGCCATGTTAGATCTAGGAGCATCGATTAATGTCATGCCGAAATCTATTTATGCTTCTTTGAACTTAGGCCATTTGAAAGAAACTGGAATAATAATCCAACTAGCTGACAGAACCAATGCATACCCTGACGGGTTGCTTGAAGATGTTTTGGTAAAAATTAATGAATTAGTTTTTCCAGCTGATTTTTATGTGCTCGACATGGAGGATGAACACTCCCGTGATCCGTCACCTTTGTTGTTAGGTAGACCCTTTTTGAGCACAGGCCGAACCAAAATTGATGTTAATAAGGGTACTTTGTCTATGGAATTTGATGGTGAGATTGTTCACTTTAACATCTTTGAGACCATGAAATATCCATCCGATTCAAATGTTGGCTCTGTTTTCTCGGTAAATGTTATTGACCCTACTATACAGGAGGTTTTTGAAATTGAAGGTAGGGATGAGCTAGAGGTCGTTCTGACCAGGCACTTCGAGTCCGAAACGACCTCTGGAGTAGAGTTGAGTGAAGAGCTTAAATGCGTGATTGGATCGTTGAAAACGTTACCAACCATGAAGACAAGGTATGACCTCGCACCCATTTTTATACCTGAACCTCACAAAAGGTTACTTCCATCTGTGGTGCAGGCACCTGTCTTGGAACTAAAACCACTGCCGAAACACCTAAAGTATGTATACTTAGGTGAAGGGGAGACACTTCCAGTAATCATCTCCGCGGGTTTATCAAAGGTTCAAGAAGAGAAACTATTTCGAGTTCTCAGGGAACATAAGCAGGCGATAGGATGGACCATCGCCGATATCAAGGGAATTAGTCCCGCGGTGTGTATGCACCGAATTCGACTCGAGGAGAATGCTAAACCCGTACGGCAAGCTCAACGGAGATTAAATCCTCTCATGATGGAGGTCGTAAAGAAAGAGATTTTAAAGCTGCTGGACGTTGGAATTATATTTGCAATATCAGACAGCCCATGGGTAAGTCCAGTACAGGTGGTCCCGAAGAAGGCAGGGGTGACGGTAGAATCAAACCAAGAGGGTGAGCTCGTACCAATTTGAAAGCCCACCGGATGGCGACAGTGTATTGATTACCGAAAGCTAAATGCCGTCACGAAAAAGGACCATTTCCCCCTCCCTTTCATTGACCAAATGGTGGAGCGATTAGCATGTCGAGCTTACTATTGTTTCTTGGATGGATTTTCAGATTATTTTCAAATTGCCATCGCACCCGAGGACCAAGAAAAGACTACTTTCACCTGCCCATTTGGAACCTTTGCATACCGAAGGATGCCATTTGGATTGTGTAATGCACCTGCTACCTTCCAAAGATGCATGGTAAGTATCTTTTCAGAATATGTTGAGAAGATTATTGAGGTTTTCATGGACGATTTCAGTGTATATGGTGAAAGTTTTGAAAACTGTCTAGATAACCTGAAATTGATCTTAGTAAGGTGTATAGAAACTAATCTCGTGCTTAATTGGGAAAAATGTCATTTTATGGTTGAACACGGGATAGTTTTGGGTCATGTAGTATCATCTACAGGTATTGAGGTTGATAAGGCAAAAATAGATGTTATATCTACTTTACCTTACCCCGCGACTGTGCGGGAAGTTCGTTCCTTCTTGGGTCACGCAGGTTTCTATAGAAGGTTCATCAAGGACTTCTCGAAAATTGGAGCACCCTTGTTCCAACTTTTGCAAAAAGATGTATCCTTCGAATTCGATGAAACATGTAAGGGGGCATTCAATAAGTTAAAGGAGTTATTGACCACCTCACCTATTATCCAACCCCCTGACTGGAACCTCCCATTCGAGATCATGTGTGACGCCAGCGACTATGCAGTGGGTGCGGTATTGGGTCAAAGAGTAGGAAAGGCAGCTCATGCTATCTACTACGCATCTCGAGCCTTGAACGGAGCTCAATTGAACTATTCAACCACCGAAAAGGAGCTTTTAGCAGTTGTTTTTGCCTTAGAAAAATTTCGGTCTTATTTGCTTGGTGCTAAAGTTATTATTTTTTCTGATCATGCAGCTTTGCGGTATTTGTTGACCAAAAATGAGGCAAAACCGCGATTGATATGGTGGATATTGTTGCTACAAGAGTTCAACCTGGAGATCCGAGATAAGAAAGGGGCGGAGAATCTGGTAGCAGATCACTTGAGTCGAGTACAAGTCGTCGAAGATGACATCCCATTGAGAGAAGCATTCCCCGAGGAGCATTTATTTTCTATTAATTCATCTTTGCCTTGGTATGCAGATATTGTTAATTTTCTAGTCACTGACAAATTTCCTACAGGATGGCCTAAGGCAAAGAGAGACAAGTTGAGGAGCGATGCAAAGTTCTACATTTGGGATGATCCTTAACTCTGGAAGCGGGGCGCCGATCAAATCATCCGTAGATGTGTAAGTGAAGCTGAATTTCAATCCATTCTAGCCTATTGTCATTCTTTTGCATGTGGAGGTCACTTTGGACCGAAGAGAACGGCTCGTAAGGTGCTAGAGAGTGGATTCTATTGGCCAACTCTATTCAAAGATGCCTACTCATTTTGTAAGTCATGTGATAAGTGTCAAAGAGTGGGTAATATCTCTCGTAGGGATCAAATGACTCAAACCCCAATGATTTTTGTTGAAATTTTTGACGTTTGGGGCATTGATTTTATGGGTCCTTTTCCTTCGTCCTTTGGTTTTTTGTATATATTGCTTGCTGTAGATTATGTTTCGAAGTGGGTAGAAGCAAAGGTCACCCGCACTAATGATTCCAAAGTGGTTGCAGAATTTGTTAAGTCTAATATTTTTGTTCGCTTTGGGATGCCGCGAGCAATTGTAAGTGATCGGGGTACTCATTTCTGCAACAAAACGATCGCTGCAATTTTTAGGAGATATGGTGTCTTGCACAAAGTCTCTACATCCTACTATCCTCAGACAAATGGTCAGGCGGAAGCATCGAACCGAGAGATCAAATCAATTCTAGAAAAGATGGTCCGACCCGATAGGAAGGATTGGAGTGTGAGACTAGAGGATGCACTATGGGCATATAGGACGGCATACAAGACACCTATTGGCATGTCCCCTTACCGATTGGTATTTGGAAAACCATGTCATCTCCCGGTAGAGTTTGAGCATAGAGCGTTTTGGGCGGTCAAGCAATGCAATATGGATATCGAGGAAGGCGGAATTCAAAGGAAGTTGCAATTACAAGAGTTGGAAGAAATCCGAAATGAAGCATACGAGAATGCAGTGATCTATAAAGAGAAGAATCGGATCTTTCATGACCAACAGATCTCTAGGAAGACATTCGTCTGCGGGCAAAAAGTTTTACTATACCACTCCAAATTGAAGTTATTTCCAGGTAAGCTACGTTCTCGTTGGATTGGTCCCTTTGTTGTAACTAATGTCTTTCATTATGGTGCAGTAGAGATCCAAAGTTTGAAAACGGAGAAGAAATTTGTGGTGAATGGTCACCGTCTCAAGCCGTATTATGAAGGATTTCCAATTGAACGGGTGGAGATGATGCAACTGGAAGACCCGATTTGCTTAGTTTAAGCAAATTCTGGACTCCGTCTAGCCAAAGACGTTAAAGAAAGGCGCTTTTGGGAGGCAACCCAATTTTTTATTTTGTTGGTTTTTGTTGTTCAATTCGTTAAATATGTCGTTTCTCATCTGGGTATTGCTTAAATTTGATATTTTCTCTATTATGATCAGGACAGGTGATCATGGCGTGCCCGCGCGGAGAGGGCACGCATTAATCTTACAAGTTCCAACTTCAAGGTCAGAGAATGTTTTCTAATCTTGGCGTGCCCATGCCATGTTTGACGAACTAAAAAAAAAAAAATGTAAGATCAAAAACTATTTTTTTTCCTTTCTTTTTCTCTTTTCTTTCTTTTCTTTTTCTTTCTTTCTTTCTTCTTCTTTTCTTTCTTCTCTTCCCGCTGTCCCTTTCTTTTTCTTTCTTCTTCGGCTGCGAACCTCACCCCACCGCCGCCCGCCGCCGCCACCCCAGGTCTCCTCCCTTCCTCCTGCTCCACCGACGCCACCGCCGCTCCCTTACGCGCGCCACCTGGAGCCCGCCGCTCCCTCGCGCGCGCTACCCCAACCCGTCGCCCACCAGCCGCAGTCGCTGAGCACCACCAGATCCAGCTGCCGCAAACTCTTCTCTCTCACAGCCACCACCTTCATCGCACCACTGGCTTCGTATGCACGCGTCTGCTTCAATCTCTTTTTATTATTTTTTTTTATTTTCTTATTTTATTATTGCAGCATGTTTTTATTATTTTTATTACAGTACATTTTTGAAAGTTTTGCGTGTTTGGACTACCTGACATTTCTATTCCTCCTTAGTTGGGTACTTCTGTGTTACTTTGCTTGTTTCTTTTTACTTTGCTTGATTTTTATTTATTTAGTAGATTGATTTGTGGTTAGTCGTGTGATTTACTTATTCCTTATGCGTGCACCGATGATACTAGTTTAGGGTGTTTTGCATATCTTTATTGATTTTACCTCGACACCTGTCATTATATATATATATATATATATTTTAGGTCGAATTGTGTTTAAATTGCTGTAATTTGTGTCCAATTGTGGGTAATTTGCTACAGTTGTTTGTTCAATTGGGAGGTGCCTTTAACACTTAAATTTGCTTATTGAAGTAGTTGCCTTGTGTGAGAGTCTTTTGTCTTTTTCATTTCAATTATTACGTTGATTGGGGTGATTTTGGGGTGCATTGTTATTGCATTTGGCTACGTTTGGAACCACAAGTGCTTATTGATTGCATTTATTATAAGTGTTGGGGTATTTGTATAGCTTGTGGGTAATTGAAGTGTGCATTTTGTTGTTTAAATTAATTAAGCGAGAGGCCCCAATATTTATTACAATTGTTATTACAATTTGTTGGAAATGGTTGTCTATTGTTGATTGGAGTGATATTTGGAGAAAATGGTGAGACTCAGATCAACCCCAGGGGTAATCCACCGATGTCTTGACGATTTCAGGGGAGTTTCGTTGCCCTTCTTCTTACTTTTTCTATATATTTGTTACATTGAGGGCAATGTATATTTTAAGTGTGGGAGGGGATTTGGATTTGATTGGAGTTTCTTTAAATTGTTGCTTTTCTTATTGTTGTCTTAATGAATAAATGTGGCAACTCACTCTTCTATTGCTAGTTGTGATTTATCCTATGAATTTTGTTTAGATGGCAAGTAAAAGCATATTATCTTGGTGAATATCATGAGTTTAAGGACTTGGTGCAAATTGTGGTTAAATTGTTTAGGCAATATAAATATTTTACTAGCAATTGTTGTGTGGATTGGGCGATTGTTGATCTTAGTTCTCCATATTAAGAGATGACGTGGGCCATGATCTTTAATTATTTGGTTTTCTGATGCTTTAATTGTGATTAATAAATGACTCTACTCCGCTAGTGCCGTCACCCAGTAACCGGGAGTCTTCACCACAAGTGTCGACTTTCGCGTCAAAAAGTGGCGATATCTATGAGTAGTCAGTCCTGAAGCTGTGAAAAGTTGAGTAACTGGGCTCTTTCATCTAAAAATGTTAGAATTCACGTCAAAAGACTTGAATAGCTTGGGACTGAGCATTTATTAAAAAAAACAAAATGTGTGCAAGCTTATGATCATGTTGGCCTGCCGATCCTTGTTCTTCAATGTTGAGATTTTGATTTTCAGTTGACCCAATTGCTAACTTTTGCTAGTTTAATATTTTAATTTCTTAGACGAGTTAGCCATGAATTGGACGAGTCTATGATTTCAGGAGCTAACTGGGAGAAATATGTTTTGACACTTAGCCACTAAAACTTGATTTTGGGATAAGCGTAGCTTGGCAGTAAATGAAATGAGAGTTAGCCATTGTTGAGTTTAGTGTCCCCATACTTGAGGACAAGCATCATTTAAGTGTGGGGGGAATTGATAGGGTATTAATTGTTAGTAATTTTATCATTAATTTTCCTCTTTATCCTTGCCAAATATTGTTTTAATTGTCAATATATATTTATATTTGGTATTTGGATATAATTTCAGAAAGTGGAGCAGAAAAGTGCTAAAAGGGGACCTTCTTGAGAAGATTTCTCCACACGTGAAAGCTTCTAAAAGCTTTCCACCATCAGCCCAAATTGTGCAAACCAACGGAATTGCTGAAGAATTGAATTGATATGATGAAATCCACTAGCAATAAGAAATCAAGCGGGGACCACGTAGAAAGTTTGTTCTTATTGTGGGAGATATACTCATTAGTCAAGGTGTTGACTTTGATGATTGAGCTTTGGCTTTGATGATTGAGCTTTTCTAATTTGCTTCCTACGTCACTAGTTCTCTTAGGAAACTAGTGCTAAAATAAAATAAGGGAAAGGCACTAGGCGAGTGCTATATAAGACATTAGATTAGTTTCTCTCTAGAGAGAGGAAGATAGGTAGTCTTAGTCATAAAATAGGATTTTGTTCTTTCATGTTTTGTGGGATGTGAAGATCTCTTCAGTTGGTTTGTTTTGTATTTTTCTTCCGTCTCTTCCTTTAGACTAGTTTCTTTCATGAAACTAGTTCTATTTCATTAGATTACGGAGACTAGCAAGAGTTATTTATGTCTATGAATTCAATTGAATTGCGTGGGAATTTTCTTATGAGGCGTGGCTAATTTTCTCCTCTAGTCAAGGATCAATACGAAGACGCAGTCCCATATATCTGTGAGATCTAATTAATTTTACGTGTTCCTTAATTTGTTAATATTTGCATGTTTTCTATTTTAATTTCCATGGGATTATTTTGTTAATTGGATATCAAGGGACCGATGTGCAATTTGACTTATTAATCTCTTGTAATCAATTAAATCCGTAATTGTTTAGTTGGTTAATATTAGTGACAATTAGTATTTTCACATACTAGGGGAACATGCAATCTGATTTAAATAACCCTCGTAGCGTGTTATTAATTTGGGTTAGGCTTTTCTAGTTTTTAATGCAATTAGGAAATTAATTCCTACGGTCGTACCTAGGAGTATTTCCTGGTTAGGGGTAATCAATGGTCGTACCTTGGTTATCAATAAATTAAGGAAAAGCTGGTCGTTAGAGCTTATCGACGACTATAACTAACCTGTTAATAAAATTAAGTGAACGTTCTTTGCATCAATGATCGGATGAATGGACTGTGTCTGCGTAGTTGTATCCTTGGCTAGAATTTATTTATCATCTATTTAATTGCTATTTACAATTGTATTAATTAATTATTTATTTTTGGTTAATTATTTTTAGTTAAATTGTTTAATTGTTTATTTTTAATTTCATTTTGATAAAAATCCCCCGTGTCTCGAATTTAAAAAGAATCGAATTTTTTCCCAGTCCCTGTGGATTCGACCCTGCTTACTACTATACACAGAAAATTTATTTTTCTTAAGCAGGTATTTATTATTGCACAGGCACGACACCTGTCAATAACAACTTTCATGGTACGATTCCTGAAGAAGTAGGCAGACTTTTTCGGCTTCAGTATCTTCGTTTTGCCAATAATTCCTTTGAGGGAGAACTTCCATTAAATATCACGGGTTGTTCAGAGCTAAGTATTCTTGGTTTAGGGGGTAACAGGCTCATCGGGCGAATTCGAGATGACTTGAGCACTTTATCTAAGCTTCGTGCTCTGAGCCTTTCCAGGAATAATTTCTCAGGCAGCATTCCATCATCTTTGGGTAATATTTCCTCTCTTCAGATACTTAGCATATCAAGAAACAATCTAGGTGGAAATATTCCAGCTGAGATTAGTCGGCTTTCAAATCTGCATGTCCTTGAGCTGTCCTCAAATAAACTTTTAGGTGCAGTTCCTCCTCAGCTCTACAACATTTCGACACTCCAGATCTTTTCTATTACTAACAATCTATTAAGTGGACAGTTTCCTGCTACTGTGGGATTGACTCTTCCAAACCTTACTTTATTTTTGGCTGATTTGAACCAATTCTTTGGATCAATTCCCACTACATTAGCAAATGCTTCAGGGCTCATAAAAATTAGCATAGGAGACAATTCACTCACAGGACCAATTCCACAAAATCTAGGTAGCCTGAAAGAACTTCAGGTTTTACATTTTGGCCATAATCCCCTTGGAACTGATAAAGCAAATGATATTAGCTTTATTTCCTCCTTATCAAATTGCACAAATCTACAAATATTGAGTTTGTCAAGAATTCAAATTGGAGGCATACTACCAACTGCCATTGCCAATCTTTCAACCAAACTCACATCTTTGTGGCTGAATGATAACATTATATCTGGTAGCTTACCTTCTGGGATTGGAAACCTTGCAAGCTTGGGCTATCTCGATGTACGTAACAATTCTCTCTCAGGTATTATTCCTGATTCCGTGGGGAAACTTGTTAAAATGCAGGAGCTTTATCTGTCTGAAAATAGCTTCACAGGAGAAATTCCTTCAACAATCGGTGACATTTCTGAACTACAGATTCTTGTACTAGAACAGAACATGCTTACAGGTAACATTCCTGTTTCTTTGAGTAACTGCAGTAACTTGCAAGGATTTACTGTTACTCAGAATCGCCTAAGTGGAGCTTTACCTAAAGAACTTCTTGGTCTTTCATCTCTCTCTCTTGGCCTCCTCTTAGCTCAAAACCAATTCACCGGATCATTACCATCAGAAGTTGGCAATTTGAAGAATCTTGTGTCATTGGATATTTCAGAAAACAAATTATCTGGTGAAATTCCAACCTCTATTGATGGTTGTGAGATGTTGGAATATCTTCGGTTGAAAGGTAACATTTTGGAAGGCTCTGTACCTTCTACTTTAGGAGAATTGAAAAGCATTCAGGTCATAGATCTATCTCAGAATAATTTGTCAGGGCAAATTCCAGCTTCTTTGGCAAAATTAAACTTCATCAGCACTCTAAATCTTTCCTATAATATGCTAGAGGGTGAAGTGCCAATGGATGGAGTCTTTGCAAACTATAGTGCCTTTTCAGCACTGGGGAATGGAAAGCTATGCGGAGGAATCAAAGCATTGAACTTATCATCTTGTCCTAAACCTACCAAAAAGAAAGCAAAGCTGTCTACTCCTATAGTAATAGTCATTGCCATTACTATTCCTCTAGCTATAGTTTTACTGCTCATATCGGCCTATGCAATTCATAGACTAAGCAACTCAAAACAACAATTACCTTTTACCTCTGCAGTAGAAAAACAGAATCAGAAGCGCTCATATGCAGAATTATATGATTCCACCAATGGTTTTTCTCCAGAAAATTTGATTGGTGAAGGTAAATATGGCTCTGTTTACAAAGGGGTCCTCAAACCTGGTGAGCAAATGGTTGCTGTTAAGGTTCTTAAGCTCCACCAACATGGTGCCCATAAGAGCTTCTTGGCTGAATGTGCAGCGTTGAGAAACATCCGCCATCGAAACCTCGTCAAGATCATACCCTCTTGTTCAAGTTTAGACTTCAAACACAACGATTTCAAAGCTTTGATTTTCGAATATGTGCCCAATGGAAGTTTAGAGAATTGGTTACATCCAAGTTCAGCTGAGGAAGAAGGAGAAAGCCTAATGAAGCTCCAGTTGATACAGAGACTGAATATTGCAATCGACATTGCGTCCGCCTTGGATTACCTTCATAACCATTGTGGGACACCGATTATCCACTGTGATCTAAAGCCGAGCAACATACTTCTAGGTGATGATTTTCGCGCCTTGGTTAGTGATTTTGGCCTAGCAAAATTTCTTTCCTCCATCGAAGGTAAATCCCATCAACATCAAAGCAGCTCAGTAGCAATTAGAGGAACAGTTGGATATGTTGCTCCAGGTACAATTACATGCCTTCTTAAGTTTAAACAAACTTTCAATTAGAATGTGCACAATTATTCGACCTTTCATTCCCTTCAGCATTTCACCTAATAATTCTTGTCCGTCCTTGAAATTGCAGAATATGGCATGGGTGGAGAGGTATCAACACAAGGAGATGTATACAGATATGGTATTCTATTGCTTGAATTGTTTACAGGAAAAAGGCCTACTGACAGCATGTTCACAGAAGATTTTAGTCTCCATAGTTATGTTAAGATGGCTCTTCCCCATCAAGTAATGGAAATTGTTGATCCAAAGATCTCAATGGAAGCAGAATCCATAGCAGGCATGATCACCAATACAAGCAAAGGCAGCATCATCAGTCAAGTGGAATGCTACCTATCGATGTTTCGGATTGGTGTTTCATGCTCTGAAGAAATTCAGAGGAACAGGATGAATATTAAAGATGTCCTCAGTGGATTACAAGCAATCAGGAATGAGTTTATTCAGGTTATAAATGAGAGCCAAATGAGACGAGGTGGAGCAATGTGAATTATAGTTCTTAGTTATAGACAAATCTTGTACATTCCACTCTTTAAATGCTTTGAAGCAGTACTCAATTTGATTAAATCTATAAAGTTAAAAAAAATTTTGTGATGTGTGCAAAAGCAGTCAACAAGAAACTTCTATTTGCAATCCAAAGTTGGTTAATTGCTTCTTGGAATTTTACTTCTAGTAACCTAAAAGGAGTTATCCACCTCGATTTTTCTTATTCTCTCGTACTCATAAAATTGATAGACCAATACGGACACCAGTTTGTAGGAAGCTGTTGAGGGAGCAAGAAGATGGACATCTTGGTTGTGGGAGGAGTGCTAGAGGTCGAACATGCGCACATTTTGGTGCTGTTTGTTAACCTTCGTGTATTTATAGTGTACTTTTGACAAAAATGTGAAGAATACTCCTATTTTTGTTTCCTTAAGGAAATAGAACATTTCTTCTTCAAAAAACCACGTGATTTAGTGCTGAAAATTTTTTCAGTGCATATTTTTCTACTCAAAATTAATTCTATATATTTTGTTTCCCATTTAAAAATAAAAAAATGAATAAAAAGGAAAACATAAGATGAAGAAGAAAAATGGCATGGCTTAATAGAAGAGTATAAAAGAGAGGGGATTTTTTTTTCTTTTTTGGTTTTTTACTAAAGTCATATTTTTAATCAAACATTGACTTTTGAAGACTTTAAAACGTTGGATGTAACCAGCAACCGTTAAGTGTGTTTGGATAGGAGATTATTTGGGATAAATTCGTTAAAAAAAATATTGTAGCACTTCTTTGATGTAATATGTGTGAGATAAAAAGCTGGTTGAAAAATATGTTGATGATGCAAACAAATCAATGTGTGTAAATAAAGTATAAATAATGTACAATCCAAACACACACGTTGATAGTTCCAAATCAAAACTTTCTCTGCAATATCTAGAGCCACCACCTCCGTCTTCCGCCCTTCTTCTCTCCTTCACTAGCGCCTCCCCCTCCACCGTCCGCCTCCAACACCACCACAAATCCACCCCTGTATTATATCCTCTCCCATCTATTGGCTTCCCAGAGCAAGACAGATATCCTATCCTCAGCTAAACTTTCAAGGAAACAAGGGCAGGGCAGTTATAATTAGCTGCCTTGAAATCACGCCTTTGATCTATTTATTTGTTATTTTCATTTGGTCAGGTTAAGAATTAAAGTTGTGACTTTTTCTAGTATACTAATCGATGGATAACGAAAGAACTGACAATTACTACTTGCCTATATTGAGTTTTGTAAACGGTTTTGCTTTTTCTTGCAAGATATCTGTAAATATTTGTACGCAATTGAAAATTTGGAGGTGGGAATTATTTGGTTAATCATCTATGCCTGATATGTGGAAACTCTCTTCTACTATTATTATTTTTTTGATGAAATGGATATTGTCCAACATTTTTTGTAATTGCCTTTACATTTCCCTTCGCATTTTCTTGGGATTATCTTCAAATTCGAATTTTTGAATCACTTAATTGCATACTGCCCTATTCCCAGCATGGGGGGAAACTGTACATTGCCACTCATACTATGTTTGAGTTATTTAGTTCAGGATATGTGTGGGCTTTGGTCGCTATTTTTTTTTTTTTTTTGTTTGTTTATCTTTGCTGAGGCCATGTTGTGAATTTTGTCAAAAGTTAGTTTTAGGTACGATTCATGTTCTTCTACACGTGAAAAGCTCAGGTGTACTTTTGGCTATATTATTCCGTACTAATGTTTGAACAAATCTATTTTATGACTCAGATGATTTTGTATGAGTATATGACCCCTTCTATTCTACTTGATCTTTTTTTTTTTGAAGGGTAGAAATTTGATTGCAATTGCATTTTGACCAGGTTTAAATTGTTTGTTTTCGAGCAAATGTATAAATATTTTTTTCACCTGATATGGACATTGGACAATGAGAACATAATAACGAATAAGGAATAACATAAATGCTTGCTTTCATGTAATTTAATATTTTATTAGCTGGTAATTATACTACTAACATGAATGCTTGTTTTAATAAATGCATTACTTATTCTTAAAGTAAAGGAAAAAAAAGTCAAAGTTCCCGGTATAAGGTAAACAAATAGCACAATACAAACAAATAAAACAAAATTAAAAACATATGTTGTCCTATGACATATTTCATGATAATTAAGTTAAGTCCGTACAGATTTTATTGATGCTTGTTTTAATAAATAAACACACCCAATTCTAACATCTAAAATTTGATTATACTAAATTTAGAGATATTATTATTATTTTCTTTATAAAAAAAACTATCAGATGTATGTTTGAAAAATCTGTTAAAAATAAGTTATTACCAATCAATGATGTCCGTATAATTGGGCAACACAAAGAAAGTCTATCAATTGTATGTTTCAATCATATATATTAAACCCGATCCGGTCTGATGATCGAACTAATCAACTCAGTGAACTTGCCACTGGGTTGGGTTGGGTCTCTAATTAGACCGTCTAAGTACAAAACCTGTTGATTGGTTAATGACTCAACGATTCAATTGGATTAAATTGGGAACCCGCCCGGTTTTGTGGACGAATCGATTTTGTGGAAAATTTTAACAAGCTCTTGCTAATATTCGAATTCGAGACTTTAGGCATATATCTATGACATGCTTACCACTAGACTACTTTGTCATATATTATATGAACGTTTTGTCAATTTTATCTTTATTTTTTTATTTTTCAAAAGCAAATTTATTTGGAATCTTTTAATTAAAACTTATGACCCCCCAAATTCTATAAGTTATAAAATGGATTTTACAAATAACTTATTACATAATTTATTTTAAAAACAAATATTGTTTTTAATAATTTTTTGCACTTAAAATTTGTAAATAACCTTGATAATTACACTAAACACAGATAAAATTTTACACTTGAAGTTTCATGGATTACTAAATAAATTTATGTTTTGTCGATTCTTATATGAATTAATTATTCTATAGCAAATTAAATTAAAGGAGCATTTGCTATGACATTTTTTATTATACTTTATATCATATATCCTATATCAAAAATTATAAAACATAATATTTAAATATATTTAGTGACCCACTGATTTAATCAATCACTCACTAGTTGAATCAGTGATCCGTTGACCCATCTCCCTCGCCGGGTTCTTTTCCGAGTCGGGTTTAATAACTATGGTTTCAATCTAATCGTAGATTCAAAGAATCAATAGTTTAATCAAATCCTATTTAATACAATTATTTAAAGAAATCCATAGTTGTGAAAACTTGATTGTTTAAAGATGTTGTAAAAAAAGATGTTGTAAAAAAAGTTCAAATTTTTTTAATATTATGTTTTGACCCCCTAAATTGTGAAAACTTATTAATATACCTCAAATATTTCATACTTTATAAATATTGTCCTAAAATTTGATGTTATTTTTCAATTAAATCCATAATTTTAATTCTAAACTTGTTAATGTTTATTAAATAATATAAATTGTTACTTGATTGTTCTAATGTCTTTGTATTTTCTTGTTAAATATATTTGAAACATCAAATATATATGAATATACCTTTATTAATATCAATTTATTATTGGATATTTTATATACAATAAATTAATTTTTAAATAATTTTTATTTATGACGTCATCCGGTTCGACCCCTATCGACCGCCGGTTGAACCCATTGACCCCTGACCCCTGACCTCGGCCGAGTTGATATCCGGTCCGGTTCTGAAAACATAGGCTATCACTCATAAATCTCTGTAGACAATTGACTTTTACTTACAAATTCCACATACAAAAATGCCTTCACACATAGAGGTGTCAAAATAAGTGACTTGGACGGGTTTAGATTGTGTAAAATGGGTAATGAGTATAAGTGAGTCAACCCATTTATGCCCATTCAATTAGATGGGTATAAATGGATAGGTCAAAAAATGAATTGGGTAATCCAATTACCCATTTATAACTCATTTATTTTAACTTTTTTGTAAACTCATTTGAATTCATTTTTGCAAACTAAGTTATCAATTTATACCACTCTTTGCACCCATCATTACTTTTAAATATTTACTTATAATTTCAATAAGCCTAATTATTAATTTTTTTTCCTATCCGTACTCTATGTCACAAAATTACATACTATTTAATAATTGAATAATATGAATATAAAAATTAACGTAAAAATTTAATCCAAAAATTTTGAACTCCTAATATTTTTTTCATGTGTAAATTTAAAATTTTATTTTGGAAAGGTAGGAAAAGAGTCTAAAACTTATCATAAATTGGTAATGCTAAAAAATGAGTAAGTTAACAAATTAAGAGAAAATAAAATGATAAAATAAAACTAACAAATAATAATAATAATGAAACAAAAGTAGTTAACATCATAATAAAATAAAAAAATCAGAAAAAAATGGGTGGGGGAATAGAGGAGATTTGGGGGAAAACAATTTTAAATGGGTTAATTGAGTTTGATGGGTTACCTAATAATACCCATTAATGGGTATTATTGGGTAACCCATTTATATCTATATGCAAAAACTTAAGATACTCATACCCATCTATTCATGGGCGGGTATGGATAAATTTAATTAAATGGTTTGATTTGCCATCTATATTCACACACATCAATTATTCCACTAACGTCCCTGGCCAATTAAGACCCTTAAACATGTACAAAACAGTGGAAAAACCAAACGGTCAAGGATCAAGGGATTTTTTTCATCGAAAATGCCTTGTTTCGATAGCCGTTTTCCGCCGGAAAATTGTGCCGTTTTCCGTGATCATATTTTTCTATTACCTTTTTTCCTCACATACATCAAATTGCTACAGTAATTTTTCTACAAAAAATCCTAGAAAATGCAATCCAAACACAAATGTTTTAGTTTCTTTTTGAAACATATGTTTGCAATTATTTTCTTGAGAAAATAATTTCTAATTTTCCATGCTCTAATGTTCTTGGATATTCTATTATTTTCCATGCAATTTTAGAAGTCTCAACCAACCGAGCACCAC